ATATTTGTAGTTGGCACTGACGGTCAATACTTACGTTGTGTATTGCACATTATTTGATCACTGAATGAATTTTATATTGGAACTATTATATTGTAGAGTGATACATTTCACTATTTGCAAAAATACTGGTCCAATTTGTGGATTATTCTGATCAAAGACATGCATTTCCATCCATTCAGGGAGTTTTCCTGCCCTAATGCTACGTTCACAACGGACGCGAATAGCGCGTCAAATTCGCGTCTCGTCTAGTTTGACGCTTGACCACTTTGTATTAATTCGCGCGTCAAGAGCAAAACTGACGCGGGTAAAATAAAAAGTTTGAAGCGAAATTTACGTGCGTCTCGCGCGTCAAAACCGAAACCCGTTGACGCCCATCTTTTTTTATGTTGATCGAGCATTCATCGAGAGATTCACCGCTCTGTATTTACTCTGGAGAGCAGAACAGCGGCGTGGGGATCATCGTCGCCGTATATTTGTGTCCACCGGACCCTTCAGAGGCGAACCGTTTGGCTAGTTTCACCATTTGCTCGCTCCACGAGCTTCGCCTGGATGACGGCCGCTGTCAGCGGTACTTCTGCCTGTCCTGCGGCCAGTTTGATGACCTGTTGTCCCGCATCGGAGTGAGGATCACCCTCGCCCTCATCCACCTAATGTAGCTGTCATTTATTTTTGTTATTTTTGTGAAATAAAGCCAGCTTCCAAAAGTTATTAACCTGTCCTGTGACAAAATAATTTATTGAAACATCCAGACACTTCACCACGTGAGCAAGCAGCTAGGCTCCTGATTGGTTAACGCGGCGCAAATTCACGCCAAAGTTCAGATTTTTCAACTCGGGCAGCAGACGTGAATTCGCATCAAACGTGTGAATGCACAGATGGCACTAACTAAATCATTCACGCGCTTAACGCGCCAGACGCTCAATTCGCGCCATTCGAGCGAACTTAATGCGCGAATGAGGCGTATTCGCATCTTCCGCGCCACGCTCCATGCCTCATTCGCGCCACGCGCATAACGCGTCTTTGCATTGACTTAACATTTGAAATCATTCGCGCCTGACGCGCTATTCGCGTCCAGTGTGAACGTAGCATAGGGCCTGTTCACACCGAGATGAATTTCGCGCACGATATTCGCCTATGTTTAATGCCTCGTGACTAAACAAAGGGTGCCAATGTGAGTGTGCACACCGATGCGTAAAACGCCACACGTAAAAGCGTTATTTAAAAAAAAAAAAACGCCTCGGGTTCGTTTTTTTTTTAGTTTGACGCGCCGCGTCAAAAACTATCCGACCAATGAGATTGGCGCTTTTGCTCACGTGTTTGGAGCTTCTGAAGTTACCGTAAAACACAACTTGGGGGCGCTCAAACACAAAAGGTCTTGCCGAGCACACATATGGAACGGAGAAGAAGATCTACGCCAAGTAGCATCACCGTCTACACAGCCAGGAAGAAATTAGACGAGGAAGATGCAAGGCAAGATGAATGTAGAGCTGCTGTTCTCGTTGGTGCTAGAACATAAATAACTAAATGACATACGCGACAGCGATTACAAATATCTTGATAAAAGAGAACTGTTATGGAGTGGTATTGCAGAGCAAATTGGCGTCATCTAATGTCAGGGAATGAATTTGCATGTTCACTCGGCTCATCTTGGGTGTGAACACAAAAAACGCGTTGAAAAATGCTGGCGAATAACACGTGCTGATATTCGTCCCAGTGTGTATGGGCCTTTAGGGTCGTGGGGATGCTGGAGCCTATCAGAATCTCAGGCCAATGTATGTTTGAGGAAAACTCAGTAATTTGTTCTTCGTATACATGTATGCACTCACTCAATATCGCTGCCTGTTCAATACCCACGGTCAGAGAGCGGCCTGTGTGAGCCTTTGACTAATTGAATCAGTACTCCCAGCCTTGCCAATCCTGTGTCAAACTAAAATGTACTGACTGAGAAATGTAATTTGACACAATGACCAGTAGGACGTGTGTCTGCCATTCACACTCAAGCATGTGTCTGATACTGTGGATGAATTTATTGGAGTAAAGACCTCAGACCATCGAACTTGAAGCTCAATTAAAATCAGTGTCTTTTTCTATCTTTATCTGTAATGAATAATAGTCCATCAATCAGTTACAGGGGCTAATCAATTACTCATATTTGTCTAGCTTAGTACAGGCAAAATCCAACGGTTGATATTGGCTACTTCTAGCAGCAATTAATGAAGGGAGACAAACAGGTCCACAGTGAGAGCTCAGAAAATACTGTGGTCAACATAAAATGTTCTTGTGTAATTAGATGATGTCTAAGGCCAAGACGTTAGGATTTACAGTGTCGGAGTGAAGATGTAGAGTCAAAGGTTAAAATGCTGATTTACTAAGGCTGTAAAGTGTTAGCTTGTTTGGGTCACGCTTGCGAGCACATCATCATGTTAATATTCTCACCATATCAGTGGTTGGGAATGTGTTTTTGCTCAGACAATAAAAAAGAAAGAAACATGGATAATTCTGGAGAGTGTCAAAATGATGCTGTAATCCTGAGGTCGAAATGCAGCTGCAGGATGGTGGAAAATAACAGCAGGACAGAAGAAGGTACAACAGTGGAGAAGGCTGAGGATTGAAACGAAGAGAAAAAGACTAAGGGCAAGACTAAGGGCATGAGAGTGAATGACAAAAAAAGGGGAATGGAGAAAGAAAGAAGAAAATTGGGATGGGAATTCACAGGAGAGAGAAAAAGAAAGGCTGTGCATTCATCTGTGAGATGAGGTATCTGTCGAGTGATGGCTTGACGTATCCCAGCTCGGACTTTGATGTCTCTGGGCTAAACTAGATTATGAATGTGTGTATGCTGGATGGGTGGTGTCCACTCTTGGTTGTGGAAAATGAATGAATCTGGTAGGCATTAAGAGCTAACCTCTGAGCTAACCATATGCCTCTGGACACAGGAAAGTTAGTGTGATATTTGTTGCTTAGATAGTTACTCAATAACTAGTCTCAGCTTCAGACACACACACACCATTTGTGACATATTACAGACCTTTAAGAGATGCACTTTGTTGCACTCAAAGATATCTTCTTTACTTTTTAGAAAGTGCCTCAACTGAGATTTATGTGCCACTAAACCGAAAGTAAAATAGTGAATAGTTGTTGGTTAATGAATATTTTGGACCGATGGCGCTTTCCTGTCTAAGTTGCTGGTTCTTGGCCAGAATACACACCAGCCTTTCCTTACCCTGATCTTGGAGCCACACCAACGGTACATTTTGGATGTCTCATTTACCTGACACATCCGTTTCAGGTCTTGAAGTCTCTGCTGGTGAGCTCATGAGTTGAATCGAGTGCATTTGATTAGGAAGTGTTCGAAAATGTGCAGTGATGGTGTGCCTCTATGAACAGGGTTGGGACTTCATCCTGATAATCAAATTCTGAGCAAGCTTCAAAACTAACCCAAGAGTGTATGGACAATACGAGTTAATGATCTAGTTAAAGGGATAGTTCACCCAAAAATGAAAATCAGCCCATGATTTACTCATCCTCAAGTCATCATAGGTGTATTTGATATTCATATTACAGACAAATACAATCAGAGTTATATAAAAAAGCTTTATAATGGCAGTGAATGGCTGTTTCTGTTTTGAAGTCCATAAAAGTGCATCTATCCATCACAAAACTGCATCTATCTATTCATAAAAGTGCATATATCCATCATAAAAGTGCATCCATCATAAAAGTGCATCTATCCATCATAAAAGTGCATCCATCCATCATAAAAGTGCCTCTGACCATCATAAAAGTGCCTCTATCCATCATAAAAGTGCCTCTATGCATCATAAAAGTACATATATCCATCATAAAAGTGTATCTATCCATCCTAAAAGTACATATATCCATCATAAAAGTGCATCTATTCATCATAAAAGTGCCTCTATCCATCATTATAGTTCCTCTATCCATCATAATAGTGCCTCTATCCATCATAAAAGTGCATCCATCCATCATAAAAGTGCCTCTATCCATCATAAAAGTGCTAAGTACCTCTATCTATCATAAAAGTGTGTCTATCCATCATTATAGTTCCTCTATCCATCATAAAAGTGCATCCATCCATCATAAAAGTGCATCCATCCATCATAAAAGTGCATCTATCCATCATAAAATTGCATCCATCCATCATAAAAGTGCATCTATCCATCATAAAAGTGCCTCTATCCATCATAAAAGTGCATCCATCCATCATAGAAGTGCATCCATCCATCATAAAAGTGCATCTATCCATCATAAAAGTGCCTCTATCCATCATAAAAGTGCATCCATCCATCATAGAAGTGCATCCATCCATCATAAAAGTGCATCTATCCATCATAAAAGTGCATCCATCCATCATAAAAGTGCATCTATCCATCATAAAAGTGCTTCCATCCATCATAAAAGTGCCTCTATCCATCATAAAATTGCATCCATCCATCATAAAAGTGCATCTATCCATCATAAAAGTGCATCCATCCATCATAGAAGTGCATCCATCCATCATGAAAGTGCATCTATCCATCATAAAAGTGCCTCTATCCATCCGTCCATCATAAAAGTGCATCCATCCATCATAAAAGTGCCTATACACAGTCTATTTGTGCCTGGAGCACAACTTGCACAACCTGTGATGTCAGAAGTAGCGTAGTACGTCATGGCGTAGAGTAAATCTCAGCAGTACGCCATTTATGATGGATGGATGCACTTTTAAAACAGATTTCAAAACAGAAACTGCCATTATAAAGCTTAGAAGGGCCAGGGCATTTTTTTATATAACTCTGATTGTGTTCGTCTAAAGAAGAATGTCATATACACCTAGGATGGCTTGAGGGCGAGTAAATCATGGGATCATTTTCATTTTTGGGTGAACTATCCCTTTAAGTCAACCAGCTAAAAAAGTCTTTGAATCCAACTGCTCACCATCATGCAAAAACCCAGTCAACACACCCTAACTTCTCCACTCTCCTTCTGCCTTAAAACAGGCAGTGGACTCATGGGCAACTCCTCGGCCTCATTCATGGGGACGTTCCTGGCCAGCAGTCTCGGCTCCCCTCCCTCACACCCCCCACACCCCTCCAGACCTCCGTCTTCTCCCGCCTCTCCTTCTTATCGCGGGGGTCCTCACTCCAGCGCCTCGCAGATCTGGTTCCCCCACTCGCATGAAGGTAAGATGGCTTGTCTGTCTGTCATAGACTAGTAAGGGTATAAAGGGTAGGAGTACATGCGTTTTACTTCTTCACACTCCTTTTTGTAAATGTAAATCGTTTTTTTAAGTATTGGAAAGTATGGAGTTTTATTTTGTTGTTCATCTGTTTTTTTTTTTTTTTTTTTTTTTACAAGTTTTTAAAATGTTAAACATAAAGTTATCAATCAATCAATATGTTTAAGGGGCTGTGCGATTAATCAATTAAACGCACACAATTTGGCAAAGGCTGGGATTTGTTTTATGAACAGTACAAGGTGCAAGTTTGGGAAAATTTCGACAAACGTTATCATCTCCGTGTAAACTTCAAAAACGTGAAAATGTTGAAGGTGTCTAAATACATTTTGGTTTGACTGTATTTCTCAAGACTGCCAGGTCATGCAATCTGCACATCAATGCAATTGCAATTTGACACCCCTGTATTTCGATTTAGACCCCAATGGCTCAGATCTATTGATTCTGACCTGCAATCAAAAAGAGTAGTGCGTGGTCCGATCACGTCCCGTTGCTACATCTGAACTAGAGTCCGACCGATAAAGGATTTTGAATACCGATATAAATATTTGTTGGTTTTAAAATCCGATATATCGGCCGATATATTTTATTTTATTTTTTTTATTTTATTTCAGAAACGCGCAACAAAACATTATCAGATTTCCCCAACATTTGGAGTTATTTATGAGTTGTAACTAAAATAATATGAACATTTTAAAAAGAAACTTGTTTCTTTTATTGTCACAACATAACATCAAACTGTATTAAAGTTCTGATAAATAAAATAATAATTAGTCCCTATATAGAGTGCCGAAGTTACGACGTCACTCTGTAGGCCAAAACGCGGAAGTGAGTTCGCATTTTAGCATTACGGTTCCCTCGCTCTAAAGCCTATGGGATTTTTGAATGGGTTTTTGCTAAATCGCCTGAAATAAGGTCTGTGGTGAACAAAGCCTCTAAATATTTTCACGTTTTGATCTATGACATAAAACACACAGTTATAACCTGCTTGTGGTTTTTCTTTAGTGTCTGATTGTATTTTTTAAAATCTTTATATAGGCTTCAACATGTATATTTTGGATTAACTTGTAAAGATTATTTTGCTAGACAAAATGTGTAAGGGTCACAACCCTTTGTTAAACACACATCTTATTTTTTGCGATTTTCCAAAAGTCTATGGGGAAAATGCATATGCATAGCTTTTCGACCGAGGGAAGCCATGCGCCGATAGCTTCCGAGTTGTCCTACAAAGTGACGTCATCACTTCGGCACTCTATTGCCTAATAAGTTACCTGCAACCTGGATCAGCAGGAAGTGTGGCGCGTTATACACGAGTGTTGCCAACAGGGACGGCGTAGAGTGCCCTCTGGTGGACAAACTATACAACTCCAACACTCATGACATGGTTGAAGCGTGTTTCGTCCGTTTTTATTTTATTTTTGAAATATTCATTTATCGGCCATTATACCTGCCGATATCGATAGTTTGGAAAATGCCTAATATCGGTCTGCCGATATATCGGTCTGGCTCTAGTAACCTTGCTCTCACTTGAAATGTGTCCCGACATTAAGTCCTTGAATTTGACGGTGTTGGACCTGAAAAGTCCTTGAAAGGTCTTTGAATGTGAAGTTAACCAGGTGTGGGAATCCTGAACTCAACTGTTTAACTCTGGGGGAGTTGTAAAATGAGCCTATTTCCAAAAAAAGTGGAGTATCCCTTTAAGTGCGATTTCATGTTAATCGTGTGTCAGTCGATTTATCTGTGTCTCTGGACTCTCTCATCTAAAGGAGCAGCTCTCTGTGTTCTTCTGCTCTGTGAAATGTCCCGTCCCCGTCATTTTTTTTTCCGACAGTGCAGAAAGGGGACAAAAGTTCAGCCAGAGAATCTTGTGGTCTGTGATGTGCAGCAACAAAAATGTCTGCGCACACAAAACATTCGAGAAAGAACAAGAACGGTCACCAGCATCGTGGGTTTTCCCACCGCACCTTATACTAGCTTGGCCCGAGCTCCAGCCACACCCAGCCGAATCAAGAGCTAGCGACTCTCCAGATCCCTACAGATGACAGATTAGCTCAACTCCACAGAGAGGGGGATATAGAGAGAGACTGCAAGAGGAAGAGATGCCCAGGCATGCCCAACGCCATCCTGCACTTATTCACACAAACCCCTCCGGGCCACATCCAAATGTCCCAGTCATAAACCATTAGGAGTTCATCCGTGTGTGTTTGTGTGATCCGCTAACTCAGCCTGCACTATCCCCATGCTAGTTATCACTATACCTCAGTCTAGTCTATACATCCCTGATCCATTTGAAGTTCACACTTTTCTGATTGTGCCTAGTATATATCGGCATAATATCAGGTCCACTTTGAAGCGTTTCACCACCGACTGTACAAAGTGGAGGCTGTCTGACTTTAGCAAAGCTCAGTTTTGTGGTTTAGCGACATATTAATGATCTTGGACTGAACGATGTATCGTTTTAGCGATGTGTGCTGTCCAGTATAGGGATTGATGCGTGATCAGTGCGGTCCAGAACGCATGCGATTCCATCTTAGTTTAACCATCATAGAGTGAACGTTTTATCATTTGCATGTGTTTTAAGTCACGGACTCGTGGTTTTTGTGCCAAATTCAGTTCCCTTTCTCTTTTTTTTAAAGCTTAAACGGACTTGTACACGCAAAAATAAGTCAAAATGCCCATCTTCGGCAAAGTCTCCTCGTTAACACGGTTCGGTTGTTTATGTGTTCGTAAACGGATGCGTGTCATTTATATTAGAAATTTGCATTCGTCTTAAAGTGACAGCAGCCTAATGTACCCGGAGCTGTTTCTGTTTGTGATGGAAATGGTGATCAAACTACAAAAGAGAAGGAGAAAATGACTTTTGTAGCTTTAACAAAGATTAATTAGGCCTATATTAGTTACATTTTATTTAGACAGTGAAGATACAATACAATACAATACAATACAATAGAAGAAAGATACAATTGAAATAAGTAGTACTTTTTTCAGGTAAATCTAACAGTTTTCAGGCAAATAAATTGAAAAAACTCAAAAAACTCGTGCTCAAAAACTCTTGAAACTTTGCACATGGGTCAGAACCTGTGGCCCATCACATTTATTTGCCAGTAGGCATGTGCAAAGTTTCAGAAACGGGCGTGGTGAGGGCTCAGTAGTGCCACCTTTTGACAAAAGTCAGGTTGTTAGTTTTATCTACAGTTACAAAAATTGGTATGTACATTGTATTCTTCAAGCTGGACAACTTTCTAATTGACACTTATTAGCTCGGACCTACAGAAAGTCAGATGTTTTGGTTTGAATATGGTGAGCCTCTCTCTGAGCCTACGTCTCTGTATGGCAAGCCCTTTTAACATTTAAAAGCTACGTTTGACTATCTGGAATTAACATTGTAGATATCAACAACGTCTTTCTAACTAGTCGTAATTACATTTTGGATAGTTTGTATTATCTTTTAAGAGATCTGTAACGTAATTGTGACTAGTCGAAACGACAGATGCAGTATGGCAAGCCATTTTAACATTTAATCATTTTAACCTACTAGTCTCTATTTTCATGCTACCACCTTTAGGTAACTAAAGGAACCAGGGTTGCGGTGCCACCGGCTTGGGCCCGTCATCGATGCTCGCAGCTATATTTTGCTTATTATTTTCTATGCAGATTCACTCCCCTATAAAAAAATCGTCCTAAAATGATTAATTCTTTTCAAATAGAGCTATTCAAATCATCTGGTGAAATTGGTTTTATATCGCAGAAAAACAAAATATCGCAATGTACGTTTTTTTTCCAATATCGTGCATCTCACGAACATCAAAAATCACGGCGAGAAGCCTGGTAAACTATCACTGACCAATAAAAACCTGTGCACCATGAAACCATGCACATAAAAATAGGTGTTCCATCTGGGGATAGGTCTGGTAGTAGACTAGTGTTAATTTTACCAGCCATTTTTAAATTTAGTTTCAGTTTTAGTCCAGTTTCAGCATCGCTTGTTAGTTTTTATCACATTTAGTCGACATCATCCCATTTTTATTTAGTCTAGTTTTAGTCGACTATAAGTCGAGCATTTTAGTCTTTATTTTAGTCCAAGAAAACATAATTTTATTCGTTTAGTTTTAATCAAAAAAAAAAAAAACTGTCAACATTTTAGTCTAGTTTTAGTCAGGACATCATTTTAACCTTTTACTTTTTTGTCAGCAGATAATATTTAACATTTCCTAAAATTATTTCACATTTCAACATTTTCTCTCATCTTTTTGATAAAAAAACACAATTTTAAGGAACACATGCAGACATGGAAGATGTTCTGACAATATTTGCATATTTATTTTGAACATTGTTAAGGTTCAAAGACACAAACACAAATGCTTGCATTAAAACAAATAAAATACACCTGACAAAGAAAACAAATAAATAAAATAAAGTGTATTATGAACTTAACACAAGTGTTGGCTGTTTAAAGCTAGTTCACATAGAATAATAAAATAAATAGATTTGAGGTCAATGTTGTGAAAAAAAAAAAAACTCCAACTGATAGCACTACAACAAAAGTGCTTTCCTGCCAGCTAGTTCACATGGTATATAAAGGTACAGTATTCAAGGTGAAACAAGGCATAGCTTGCTAGAACGTATGAAATCTTTTTAACTAATCTTTTTAAAGCGTCTGTCTGCTTTAATCAAATGTAACTGAAACTATAGTTGCCCGGCCAGTATAACATATCTAAGTTGGCATAAATTTAACTTCACATACAATTCTATCAACAAGTGGCTACGGTCGCTACGTGCTAAGAAGCTAACGCAACATAGCCAGCCTGGATACTAAATGCTATGAAAGTTAGCCATCATTAGTTAGTTTATCATTGTAACAAAATGTGTCCATATATCACGTCTCTTCTTTCTCCCGAGCCCCGTGCAAAGCATGTTTTACTTTTAACCTGTCGCCGCCGCCTCACC